TACATACATATATACATATATATATGTATGTATGTGTGTATGCATGTATGTATGTATGTATGTATGTATGTATGTATGTATGTATGTATGTATGTATGTATGTATGTATGTATGTATGTAGGTAGGTATGTATGTATGTATAAATATAAATATATATATATATACATGTATATATATATAAATATATAAATATATAGATATATAGATATATAGATATATATATATCGATTCGTGCGTATACAATGATGTAGTTGATACGCAGATGTAGAGTAAGCACTGGTTGCGTATTTCACGTTACCTTCCGATAGTATTTTACTTACCAACATACACAGAGTTTCGTGAGCTCGTATATATAAACACTTATATTTAGTCGCCTTTACAACCTTTCCCTACATATTCGAGGGTGTTTATCCCTTGCTATGTATTGGTTGATAGGTACTTAAATTACTGATACACACAGCATTCGTTTCAACGACTTATGATGTATAGATACACCAATGCAACACGAGCATGCATATGCTCTCATTATTCATAGTGTAAATATCACATACACACGAACGACTACAAGAGCCGCAAGATACATATATAGATCGCAATACGTTCTCCCTCATACCACACATTTGTCATGAAACCCTACATACGCATCAACCCGTCTAACCATATACTAGTGTATGTACATATGCAGCAGTCTTCAGGTTTCCCTTTCAGCACGTGTGTGTCTCACCGCTACGCTTACTTGTATCTGAGGTTGTCTTCACCAGCAGAAACATGGGAGAAACATCATCGCATTGGCTATATAGCATATTGATATTGTAGCCGTGTTTCTGCACGTTTTGAGACAGGGTGTGAGTGAGTTAGTTCTCGAGTTAGCGTACCGTTTGGGTTCAAGCAAGCACTACCGTACACTAGTGGTCACGATAGGCGACTATATCGAATAAACCTTGATAAGCTCGTAGTTTATAACAGACGCTCACAGAATCTTACGGAAGCTTGTGTTCCATCAGTCAGTATCATATCCATTGAATCTCTTGTACAGGCAACCCCCACCAATCTATCACACACAGATGCGTATTCCTGACCTCGTTTGTTTGTCACATATACACATGTACACATGTACACGTATACACATATACCCAGATACGCAACTGCAGCACCATCAATTTAAATACACACCCACATTTGATACATATACACACGTATACACTCACCCACGTGCAGAAAGCCAGCCGCAGGTTATCCAAATGCAATCTATCGGGGGCATACGCCCACATGTCTCCTAACATAACATCGTCCATTATGCGCGACGTGCTTCCCGCAAGCTTCGGCAGCGGCCTGTGCAGAGAGCAATTTCATTCACGCTAAGATGTATATAAATAGAATCAATGTATATAAATAGAATCGATGTATACAAATAGAATCGACCTATATAAATATAATCGACGTATATAAATATAATCGATGTATACAATAGAATCGATGTATATAAACAGAATCGATGCATATAAATAAAATCGATGTCTATAAATACAATCGATGTATATAAATAGAATCGCTTTATTCGCGCTAAGATGTATCTAAATAGAATTACTTATTCACGTTCAGATATATAAATTGAACCGTTTATTCACGTTAAGTATATAAACAGAATCGCTTATACAACTTAAGAAGTATATAAATATAATATTTTACTCGCGTTAAGGTGTATATAAATAGAACCGTTTATTCACGGTAAGTTGTATAAAACCAGATTCGCTGATTCGTGCGAAGATGTTATAATTAGAATCGCTTATTCATTTTAAGAAGTATCTATATGGAATCCAACAAGAATAGAAAACATACATATATGTTAATATATATATATATAATATGTATATATATATATATACATATATATACATATGTATGTATGCATATGTATATGTATAGATATAGATATATATATATGTATATATATATATATATAATATATAGATATATAAATATACATATATATACAA